TATGCGCCATGCACACACGAAGAACAACCAACCCGCATAAATGATCAACGTTCAATGGGGGCTGTGTGAAGGAAAGCAAGGCTACGCGATAGATATTCGCCGCTCTCTTCGAGTCCCCGTACCCAGAAGCAGAGACGGAAACACAATAGAGTCACTACCACTATTCCGTATAATACCGGGACTGACTGTATTAATACGCAGGAAGCAATCTGTGTTCAGATTCATTCGGAGAGAATCTTGCGCCAAAGGAATGTCCGTGTTGTTGTCTGCAGGTATCAGGCACCAGGTACCTTGACGCATTCCTTCACCTCCTTCTCCACTCTCGATCTCATGAGTATGCGTCATGCACCACACGAAGAACAGCCCGACAAACGGTCAACGTCCAATGGGGGCTGCATGAAGGAAAGCAAGACGACGCGATAGATATTCGCCACGCTCTTCGAGCCCCTATACCCAGTAGCAGAGACGGAAACAAAAAAGAGCCATTATCAAGGTGTCTACATACTATACTGGAGGGAATCGTGAGGGATATCTCCGAATATATGCATGCATGTGTACAACGTATGCCCAAAAACTGTCGACGAGATGGGATGTGTCCTTGGTAAGCTTCTGGAACGGAATAGTACGGAGTCAAGTTTTGGCCAAATACAACAAGCTGGGTTCACGGAAATGAACACACACAGATAGTCTAATGGAGAGCAAGGAGACATGGGCGAGGCAAGCTAGATCTCACTCACACGCCATCTCCACCATAAACATAGCATCCACACGTACACCCCGAGTAAAGAAAAATCAATAGTCCAGCCGAATACCCCCAATTGTGTGCAATACGCAGCGTGATTAGAGGAACGCACACAACGCCTTGCCCTTTCGTCGTCACTCAACACGAGCCCTCTGGTACACACGTCCGGCGAAGAACAGGGACGAAGGCATCACAGAAAACAAAACACTATGGTGATGACCAAAACAATGTGACAAACTTCCAACAGATTATGGCTCTTCGATTTGGCGTGTTTGGAAGCGGTGCGGTCCCGCAAGGGACCCTCCAAAGGAGAAGGGAGTAGTTGGGAAGACATCTCCACATTTTTTGGATCAGCTACCGCCGACCGAAGCATTGCTCGGGATCAGTCAAGTAACACCATGCAGCCAGAGCGGGGACCCCCATTTCTGCAAGGAGCTGCCTGGCGTGGACCACGAGCTCACTGTAGGCCCTGAAACAACCATCTGCCAGCGGAGCACAGATGATACGACGGGTTAGAAACGCTCGTTTTGTTATTGGCGGCAAATATCTACATGCAGACTACTGTACGTATCTGGTCATCCGTTGTCCGGATACGAATCACCGATGGCGACATACATAGGATGGCCGACAATAACCGTGCTTCAGGAGCCGCTGTTGGTGAGGAGGAGGAAGTGTTCATTTCATTTCATGAGAGCAATTCGGGGCTGGCAATTCGCCAACTGCGAGTTCCCAACCTCTCCATTCGACGAAGAAGCAGTCAAAGGAGTGTCGAAAGGTATGTCCCCAGGCACCTCTGGTGTGTGGTGATGGTGTTGCTGCTGCTGCTTTCCTAGACAATGGTAATGTCACAAGTCGTACATGCAGTCGACAGGTTCGTAGCAGGGAACGTTTCACCGTCGTACCTGCTTCTTTCTTTGCACAATAAACCACATGGATATTCGAGCCACGATCCAACAACTTTCCTTGCTGTTACCTGAAGTTTCCCTGCGGTTCGGTCGGTGCCCACGAGGCCGCCATCGTCCACATCTTGCCCTTCCTTCTCATCCTCGCCGTCGCTGTGTCTGGGGAGGAGAATCGAAAGGGTGTCAAACATTCGGGTTGCCGCACCCCACAGGAGTGAAGGGATTAGCGGAGTTGGTATTCGAAGGCGCCGGCGAAGCGAAGATGTTCCGGGCCATGTGACGCGCCTTGCGAAAGGCTGCACTGGGAGCATTCCGACGGCGACCTCCTTCACTGGTGAGAGCAGTCACTTCGAGGAGTCCATCACTCTTCTCCTGGATTCGCAACGATTCAATAAGAAAGGGCCAGCCGGATGCATCGGCGGAAAAGGTCGGAACGTTGGTCGGGACTTTTCTCGGAAGGGAACCTCGGGCGGAAGGCAAAGGGCCAGCCATGTCCATATGACCAAGTTGCCGATTGGAGATGCCTCCAACTTGTTGCAGACTGAGCCATGAAGAGGTGTCTAACCTGCATGGCCATGATTTCGTCGGTACCGTAGAAGTCGGCCTCGGCCATGCTCTGCCACACGAGGACCAGCCGCGACCTTCTGGAGAACGTTGTGTCCCTGCGGCAATTTACGATGCGAAGGGAGGGATCCCGCCTTAAGCGCGAGATATCATGCCTGCTGCTGTTTAGAAGAGCTGGCGGCAAGACACCATGCGTTCGGAAAAGTCGTGCAAGTGGTGGTAATCGCTACTGTGTTTTTTACTTCGATTTACCGCCCGCCTGGAAACGCTGAGATAATTCCGAATCTGTGCCGTGGGCCGTTTGTTCGACCGTCGAAGACCACCGGATGCGATCCCCCCCTGCGTGAATATTGGAAAGGAAGCAGATGTTTAGTCTAAGCTAGTGAAATTGTTTGATTTCGGCTCCTATAAAAGTTAAGTCACGGGGTCCGAATGACCCGACCCCTTCACTCCGAGGAAGGTGCCTCAGCTCGCCAGCACTGCTATCTACAGTCTACATTTCGCTCCATAGGCCTAATCGTCACCTATTACACCCGGGGTATTGCTCCCAAGATCTCAAGGGAGTCTTCCCATTATCCAAACTCTGTCCGAGACTCAGAAAAAAGCTCAAGTGCAGCCAGGGGTTTGAACCCAAGACAAACCAGCAGCCCATGAGGCTTGTCAGCGGAGGGTATTCCGCGACACAGTGCGCACTTGGCGATGTCACCATAATAATCGGGAGAGATGCAACAATAGAAGAAGCAGAATACACGCGTCAGAGAGCGTGTTGCTTGCTTGGGTTGACGCCTGTGCGTGCTGCAATCATTATGATGTGGCGATGGGCCGGTAGAGGCGCGAGCTTGTTGACGAGGAATGGTCCTTGCAGCTGGACAGCACTGTTGTCCGTATCCTGGAGACGAGTTGTTTGAACGCAAATTCGTTCAGTCTGGGTGCTCAGCATCCAGGCGGAGCATGACGTTGGTTGGGAAAGGTCGATTGTGTTCCCCACCTTCAGCAAGACTCTATCTCACGAAAGTGTATTAAGTGTACAGGTTGCCTCGGTGGAACAGTTGAGTATGCTACTTGGCACATGTTCCCGTACATCAATTTCAACAACGATAACCCTTTCAATGTGAAGTAACGACGACACTTAAAACTTCTGTCGCATCTTATGACCCTCGAGACGACTGGTACGCGTATAACACAGAGTTTCAGAAGCCGAAAACCAAAAAAAATTGTCGTTCACCGGTACCGCAACTCTTTCGAGATGTATGCACGTAAGGCGGTGTTGCTTCCCTTCCCTTCGTCCCTTTTTTCCCTTTTCCCCTCATGAACGAGGATACCTCTCACCTACCTGTTTCAGGCAAACACGACGACGGCGGCGAAAATCCCCTTCCCTTTCTGATTGGCTGCGGGTGAGCGTTGATCTGCTATGCCGCTGTGGTTTGAAGACGGCCCAACAAGTAGTCGTAAGGTCGCCTCCGGCTTGAAGGGTGATTGTGTGTCTTGGTTGGTTCACAGCCACCTCTCCGCTGTGGAGCGAACCGAACGTTTGGTTGCTACACCAGCTACCAGCAGAGATTTCCCCGTCCTCTGCATACCACAGCAAGAACGCCTAACTACTGTAAGTTCACAGCCAGGCAAGGCTGAAAAAGTCTTGCAAAAGTTAAAAAGTACAGAGTCAAGCAAGCTGCATGACTCTACAGTACGCTACCAGCACACCAGTTCACGGCTGGGCAAGGCAGAGTAAAGGTTCACACGTCAAGAGCTCCCGAGATGTGACCCCTACTCAGTCAAAAAGCATGTGTTGTGTTGTTGCAGACTACTGCTGTGTTTTTTGGTGGTGGAGGTGGAAGGCGTGTTGGTTATTGGTTCGGGTTCGGAACTTCCACAAGTTAGTTTCCATGGGCGGTTCTCAGTTCTCACGATCTCATTCTGCTCTGAGGCAAGACTCCACCCTCCACCCTCCACCACATCCCATTCAACTCTGTGTATATTCGGAATGGGTAGTCTTTCTGTGTGTGTATTTGTTTTTCCTAATAGTGCTCTAGATAGAGTGGCTTTAGAAAGCTTCCGGACAGTACAAGGTGTTGCCTGCTCGGCTGTGATTTTTTAGCCTCATCCGCTGGTCAATCAGGCGTAAGTAGCGCTGGTGAAACGGCACTCTGTATTCATGAACGAGATTCCGCCAAAACCCGTGCAGAAAACGAGCACCATCTCGAGGAATACTATCACTTGTCTCTTGCTTCCGTCGGCTTAGTGGCTTCTCATATTGTCGTGCTTGCGCGAACAATTTCATTCCGGTTAGCACGACCCCATCGAATCGGGGCATGATCGGATTGGAGATCTTCCAATCTATCTTGTGTATTACTGTAGTCTATGCAGATAGGTAGGGCCACCATTTGTGTAGAAGCGTTGTTCCCGGAACTTCTGTTCAAGCCTGGGTGATGTTTTTTTCGTTCCAGCCTGACTGCCGTTAATATCGTGAACACATCATCGCGAGGTTCGAGGTCCCATCGATCGAGACTCCCAAGGTCTCGTCATGCCGTACCTCGATTCAGCGCAAAGGAGCATCACGTTCGTTCCGCGCCCAACGTAAAACCACCCATGGCCTGGCCTTAGGGGAGCTCGACCCCGCGCCCAAACCTTTTGTCAGTAGCACACATGCACCTTGGCTACTTTGTAGGTGTCGAACGTGCCGGGGCGGTGCCTCCCCTTACCAACTGGAGTCGTCTATGGCTACCGCCTCATCCGTGTGTACAACAAGCAATGACGCAGTAGATTGCGGCGTTGTCGCAGCACGCGCGCGCGAGCAAGTATCCACACTTTAAAGATGACTTTGATCCGCGCAATAAGCTGCCTCTCGTGTTCTAACGAACAAAAACTTCTATACAGCATCTGCGCGCAACTGCTAATCAATTCCGTGCCGTAGATGATATGAGCAACACCCGCCCGTTATGCATACATACGTATGTACGTACACCATGGTCGCCGACGGCGGATGGCATCATTAATAAAAGCTAACCCTATCCTCTCCGGCCGTACTTGCAAAAGTCTTGTCTCTGTCTTTCATCCCAACCTAGCGCACGCGACACCAGCAGTCACGTCGTCGAAAGGACACAAACTCGAAAAACCGTTCACTGGAAAACAGCAATTACCTCCATCAACCTACCGTTGCTTTACCTAGGAACCCTAGTTGCAAAACTATTACAGACCACCAAACAAGCAACGCGCGAAGTCAATCAAGCCTTTCGTGGTACACTTCCAACGAATTCAAGAAATAACCGACAACCCTGGTTGTTCGAACCGGTCCCTCGTGAAAAACCGTCGATGGGAGTTCAACAAGACTCAGAAGGCGTCGGCGGCACAGACGAGACATTTCCATGTGTGCGTTATGACCGCTTTCAGTGCCCTTGAGCGGGGGCACGAAACGAGGACATGCCGTGCTCCTGCCGAATTACTTGGCGTTTTCATGTACACGTATATTACCGCAGCAGCACATCAAGCTTGATTTCCTTGACTCTTTTGCCACCACCAATCAATCACGAATGGAATCCACGTAATCTACCATGTATGCTGCAGGTAGATTGTCATTCGCCGACAACGAGACACGGCTCAATTAATCGGAAGATACGCGGAAGCGTGACGATGCGCTTGCTCGAATCAGCTACTTTTCCACGTTAAAGCGCGGTACTTTGTAGGTTAGTCCTCTGCCTTCTGCTCCTTGGCCTCGTCAAGGATGTTGGAGAAAAGTGCTGTCGACAGGTACCTGCATGATCCAGAAAGCGACCGGGCAACAACACAAGAGGCGCGAAGGGGGGAGGCCGGGGGGAGTCAACAATACGTGTGCGAATTGTGCACCAATTCGGTGAACCCTGAAAAAAGCTTCACCTGCAACCAACCACTGCTACCTGAGGTCCGTGAAGCACCCTCGAGAACACCGGTAAAGCTAGAGCCACGGCACACACCCTAGACTGACGTGTCAAACCTCGATTCCTCAACAACCAAGAGGACGCCAACGGTAGTGTGCATAGTGTTGGATATCAAGTCGTGCCATCCTCTGAATTGTGCCGATGCCCGCTAGTGATTGCTCTGCACAGACCGGTACTACAGAGGGAGGGTGCATCTAAAATGCCGGTTGCCCGGATGTATTAGGCCGGTGTCTCACCGCTCGCCGAAGGAAGGAATGACGACGCAGATGGTCTTGCCCTTCATTTCCGGCTTCTTCGCCAGGTCCAGCGCGGCCTATGTACGGTGGCGTGCGGCGAGACAGAGAGCGACGTGCGGCGCAACTAAAAAAAACGTACCTGTACGTTTGTGCCTGAGGACCATCTGCCTTACGATAGAACCTGCCGTACCACAAAGCAGCACACTCCTGCAGCTGTGCCATGGCACGAACATCCAACAAGGGAGTCAGTGTGCCTGTGCATCTTGTGTGCTATGACGCCAACATGCAGAGGGAAAAGGTCCCAGCAAAACTGACTCAGTTTCAAACGAAACAAGCGGGGTCGCAGCAACAGGTCATGCTGGCGGCGAACAAAAGCCCCGGATATCCTTCGGAATAAGACGTGCTAAAGTACCACCGTAGGCCACCAACCCTTCGTTTCGCTTGGATATTTGACGGCTATTAGAACACTCGAGAGCTGCTATGGTTGTGGTGCTACGATTTTCTCGCCCTCACGTTCGTGTCAAATCACGTGAGAAAAAGCACGTATCGCAACGTCAACGTCCAAGAGTGGGACAACTAGTAGCATTCGTCACTTATTTTATTGAAGAACGCCAACCGAAGATAATGATACATGGTCCGTGGGGAGAGGGACACGTAGAGCAACCCCCCCTGCAAATACAACCCTCGAAACCACACCATGGCCTACTACCCAACACCTGCTTGCCGGTCGTGAGTTGCGTGTGCTGTTGCTACGGAGGTGTATGGGTGCCAAAGAAAAGGTGAATGTAAGCCGATTTTCGGCCAGATAATCAGCACAACTCCCTCCCATGCACAACCCTCACCAAGAACAGATGCAACACACGCACAGCCTGTCGGAAAAAAAAACACATACAGGGTCGACGGGGGGGGGGGGGGGGGG